AGGTATAAATAATGCTTAATGTTTATAGTAAAATAGATAGTAATAAGTCTCGGGAGGTGTTCAACAAAAAATTTATTTATTTATTTATTTTACGGGATCACCCCCATTTGAGAATAAAATTAACAATTATATAATAAAGTAATATACTACATTACATTAACTTAAGTTATTATAAAATACATATCATAATACTACCATGCAGTTAAGAGATTGTTTTTGAATTTGCTGATTTGATTTGCTTCCAATTTTCTTTCATTAATAAGTCGAAGTGTACGATCAACAGGGTTATGTAAGCCATAATTTGTAGAATGAAACCGTAAGTGAAACAAATCGCTGGACCTTAGAATTCTGTTTGGGACATTGAAATTAATATTTTCTTGAATTTCAGGAGCAACAATTAAGCCATTCAGTAAGTTGTATATGAAAATTAGATCAAAGTTTTCCCTCCTTTTTCTCAACAGATTGAGATTGAGGATTTCTGAGACTTAAGTCTTGAAGGGACAGATGTTTCTGAGATGTTTACCATGTCGTAGAATAAATCCAAGATATTTTGCCTCCTTTACCACAATATAGTTCAAGTGGTCTAAAAATTGAAGTTGTTCATCAAAAAAAAAACATCTGATCCGAGTGGACATTCGATGTGGCATCATCCCTTTGAATGGCGACACTGATTCTTTGAATTAAAACTGAATAGGCTAGGTTGTCAAAGGTAGGATTCATCATTCTTCTACCAATTTCTTTCAACAATTCAGAAGCATGAGATCCAAAAACACCAAAGGTTTCAAATAATAGAATAACCGTACATACGGATCTGGTTATATGTTATGTAATGAAAATAAAACCTATATTATACAGGGAAGGGTAGGAGTCGCGTTATGAAAAAGATTGATAAACACTGGTAAAGAGAATTGAAATACCTTCGTTTTTACGATATGTAGCAAGACTCCCCCCTTTGCATTTGAAAAAAAAAGTTAATAGTTGTCTTCTCGGCGGCAAATGATGTCAAACTATTAGCTTTTTTATCAACAAATACTGAAAATTATTCCTTTTTACACAAATTATGTCAGACTCTGAAATCCTGACCTAACGGGTCACGGGACTATTAAATCCAGCTGATAGATTTTCAGTTCATATGTGTATTTTTTGATAACAAACGTTCACTGTAAGCACTGTCTAAAGATTTTTATTAATTGATGTTTCTTCCACATTGCGATGAGGCTACGGTAAGGTCTCCGTTTGGCCTCAGTACAGGTCTACCGTGATTGTAGGTGAAACGTCTAGCAAAAAAACCTGTAGACGGTAGCAAACAAGACCCGGAAATAGTTTTTGTTTAGTAGGTTTACTAACCTGTAAGGAGCGATGGATTCCTGATCAACTTCTGCTTTGAATTTGCAACACAAACTGTTGTCATTCAAACATTTCTCGCTAACCGTCTTATTCATGTCGCCCAATCCTTCGATTTTTTTATAATTCACATTCTGAGGCTGAATTGTTCCATAAGGTTTGGCTTCGAACTGGAAATAATCATGTAAAGAGAGTCAGAATAAAGGGATGTCTGAGAATCTGGTGAAATTGTTTTGTTGGTGAATTTGTTCTGGTGATTCACGTAGATATTCAAACATTTAACATTTGGTCCAAAACTAACCAAAACTATTAAAAATCTATGAACCAAAAGTCAACCAAGTCACCGACATTGATTGTACGGTCGCCTAATGTCATATTGAATATGATAAGAATAAATAATCAAATTTAGAGTAAAGAGTAAAGTGACTGAAATATTCCAACTCTGCTTCAGTGTTTTTATCGGCAACTCCAATGACGAAGTTTCTTATTTTGTAGCTCAAAACTATCGGTCCTCTTTCATTAACATAAAACTCTACTACTCTAACTTATGGTTTTTTGGGTAATCACTTTCAAAATTTCAGGTTTAGTTACTTTCAGACCAAACTCTTATTATTTCTCAATATTTTCATTACAATAGACCCAAAACATCACGTATTTCCTTGACGAAATGTCAGCAAACTAAACAATAACACAACACTTCAATTGAGGATTTACTTACATTTACTTTTCGGCTATCGCGAGGCTTCAACTGCATCTGCTCTATGAGTATTGTACTTCCGTTCAGAGCATCGGGAACTCCTTCAGCACTCATGCCAACAACACTGGTTCCATTTCTGTGGTAAATACCTGACCCTCCGTAGTTATTCTTGGCGTCCCAAAACCCAGACACCAACAGGTTTACGTCGTTTCCTACTGAGAAGCCAGCTTCTAAACTGAGGCCTGAAATATTTCCAACACAGATATACAATACAATTCAATCAGTGTACACCCTGTATACTATTAAATGTTTGAAATCCACATAATTTTCTGAATCCAATGATACCTCATAGTTGATAATTAAATTATGGATTGGAACTCGTGGTTCTGTCAGGTGGCCTGCAAGATCACCCGACTTAATCCCTTTGGACGTCTTGAAGGTCCTCGCGGAAGATCGTATTGATAAAAGAAATAAGTTGAAAATGCCACAAGTTTATAAAAGGAAAATGAAAGTAGATGTGAAGCTAATTTACAGGGAATGTCGGCAAATTGTGATGGTAGGCCTGTTGAAAAAAAAAAATTTCCGTTAACCAGCTATCACCCCTACGAACAACAACCCTCAAAAGAAAAAACTCATCCCAATTTATTCGTCAATAAAGCTTTATACAAAGTTAACAAATGAACAGATATGATATTCTTGAAAATTATATGAAAAACATACATATATTTATTAATCAATTGATTATGGAAAATAAAATGTTTTTGAGCATTTTAAAAAAATTATTTCTTTTGAATTCATGTATTCTACATGAAAAACATACATTTATTTATTTATTTAGAAGGAATACAAACGGGAATGACCAAAAGCAGTATTCACAGATATGTTATTTCTCAATATTATAACCTATATCTATAAATAGTTTTTAAAATCGTTACGAAGTTGAGTGCATGGAGTTGATGAAAATAATGTAAAAAATTATATACATAATAATGCACATATACATAAACATATATACACACAAATACTAATCAAGTCTGTGTAGCAAGAAAATGTTTTTTCATGGTGTAGGAAAACTGTATAATACGTTCATTTGCAATCTAAAAACATCAACAGGTTTGCGATTCGGTAGAAAAATAAGAGTAAGAAGGGATACTTCGATAATAAATTAGACAACTTCGATAATAAAATAGACAACTTCGATAATAGAATAGACAACTTTCAGGGGATTAAAAAAGGAAACCTGATGGTTCCCTTAATTTTATTATTTAAACTTCCCGCTAAGACAATTAAAATTAAAAAAAGGGGGGAAGCAGGCGAAAATCGACGCGTTCAATAGATAGTATCACTTAAAAATTTACATTCAAGTGATTTCGTTAAATAATTTTCAAAATTTTGAGCTACAAGAAAATTAATTGCAACTGAAATGCCGGATCAAATCAAAAATTATTAGTTAATGGAAACTTGCAATCGGGGTTTCCTGATATACCGATAACAATATTATTATGTTTGTGCAAGAATTCCTAGTAAAAATTCAAAAAGAATTGTTTGGGAGGAAAAACGTAAAAGTTGCTGGCCCCTCTCCTGTGGAAGCCCCGGGGCAGTAGCCCCGCCTGCACTCCCCTAAATCCAGCCCTGGATGATTAGATTAGTTTTTTATTGGTCATATAATTATTACACCTCAGTTCTATGACAAGTCAATAATATATAATATGAATGTAAATTACCATTGAAATTACAGAAAAGAAGGAGGTAGTTCATTAAAATTGTATATAATACAAAATAAAGTAAATAATTATATAAATGAAAAAACAGAGATGCATAGAGATAGTATCCACATTAACGATAGTCAGTCAATAAAGCTGATGTCAGACGCATTCTCTGAGAGATGTTTTTTAAGTTTCCTTTTGAAATTAGTGAGGGCTGCATTTTTCATTGATTGGGGCAGTGAGTTGTACAACGATATGTATGAGTTACATCTTGTTATTTCTAGTATTTGGTTTGGTGTTCTAATATTATCCTTGTTCCTAGTATTATACGAATGGTTGTTTCCATTTGTAGTAAACTTTTATAATTTTTTTTAATGGGTATCAAATTGCAGTATATTACACATGATGGCAAAGTTAATATATTGAACTTTATAAACTAATTCTTACAACTCTCCATTCAAACTATTCCAGCTGAAGCTCTGATTGCTCGTTTTTGAATTGTAAATATTCTCGAGATATGAACAGATCTGGCCCAGTTTATCAATCCATAAGTTAAGAAACTATGAAACTATGCATAATAAGCGGTATGGGTAGCTTCATTACAGACTCTATTTTTCATCTGCACAACCTTGCAGCATGGGGTTCCCAAATTCACTTTGAATCAAAAGTTATACCAAGACATTTCACATTATCAGAGGGATTATGAGACAACGACAACATAACTGGGTCTTACTTTTACTCACACATGTGCTATTCGCATTGAACCAATCTGTAACTTCCCGAATAACTCGCTTTTCTAACTGTGATGACTCTACAATATTTTTTTTACAAATAGCGGAGGTCATCGTCGAATAACATTGTGAACATTGTCATTGAATTTGGCAGGTCATTGATATACATCAAAAAAAGTAGAGGCCCAAGCACACTATCTTGTGGAACACCATTTAAGATCGTTTGTAAGCTACTGAATTCTTCATTACATAAAACACATTGCTCTTTTTCTATCATTTGAATATAATGCTAGAAGATTGTGTGCCATGTTTACAAAGGCATAGTATCTCAGTTTTTCCAATAAAATGTCAGTAAAGACGCAATCGAACGCCTTGCTCAGATCGAGGAGTATGCCAAGTGTTAGGAAAAGGCCCAGGCGAAGATCTCTGGCTCAAAGAGACAGGCTTGTCTGGCCATCAGTGATGCCATCAGTGCCACACGGTCAGCGGCTATGGAGATCCTTCTAGATGTACCTCCTTTATTTATTTATTTATTCATTCTAAATTCGGGACACATACAGGTAAAAGAACCCAAACAAGTNGAGGGTGCTGCAAGCAGCTTCATCGGACCAGAACCTGTCATAGGCATGTCATTGCCAAACAAACATTGAACACATGGATGACAAGAAGATTTATGGACTACTGGCAGAATCTTCCAGGAATGGCTCATTCCAAGGCGTTTATTCACCCTTCGGCTTGATACCAAACAGTTGTTGGACTACAGTGGGGATGAACTACAATGTCTAACAGGCCTTCTTACAGGTCACTGTCATTTGAATCATCATATGCAGAGACTCGAACTGTCGGAAGACAGTATGTGTCGCCTCTGTTTGGAAAAATGATGAAACAGCAGAGCACATACTTTGTGTCTACCGCGCTGGGGACCGAATAAGGTTTTTAGAGTTCGGCAGAGCCGTACTCTTACCATCGGCCCTGAAAGACCACTCACCATACAAACTAATCGGCTTCGTTAAGAAGCTGGGTTTATTGTGTCGAGTGTGAATAGGTGTGAGCCGCAATAAACCCTTGCGGGTTGCGGTGGAGGGTCGAATGGACCTAACATAATGCCAAGTATTGATTCTTTGTTTTCGAAACCTTCAATTATGAAATCGACTAATTCGAGCAATGCTTTCGACATGCTTCTTCCTTTCCTGAATCCAAACTGTCTGTCGGTCAAGATTTTAATAATTTATCATTCTCATTGCCATTATTTTTCTACAATTTTTGCAATGACTGGAAGTAGTGTAATTGGTTTGTAGTGTGAAGGAAGATTGTTGTATATATCTATCCAAATTTAATTAAATTTTATTGTATGTTCATTTCTAGGCTCAAAAATAAAGGTTCCCAATAAAGTTACTGTGGCTCCATCTGTTAACAAAGTCAGGGATCTAGGCACAGAGCCACAGTATGACTGTTAGTGGTGAATGGACTGAAATGTGTTCTGAAATCACTATCACTGTAGAGTTTGGATAAATGACTTCAGCCCTTCAGCAGGAAATTGGACAACCCTTGAAAATGTAAAAAAAACTAAAATCGCGTATATTCTCATCTTGTTTATTATACTCACCAAATTCGAGTGGCAGACTATTTACAATCGAAGTTGTCATGATGATATTATCGTGTTTCAATTCTTTTGGAATCTCGTAGAGCATATCGGTGTCGAACAAAACGGAAAATGTGACGGTAGCAGCATTGATTTTCGCATCGAAAACGCACGCCTTATCGTCCGCTGGTGGCGCAGAGAAAGGAGTTTCTCTGTACAAGTGTCGTTTTCGACATCTATAAAAATAACAACATCAGCTGGACCTTCAACAATATTTTCAATCCAAAACAAACACTGCTCTGATAAACTATACAGTATAGATCATCTCCAGTTGACGCCAACTTAGTTGGTGAAACGACAGTCGACAAGAATGTTGCAGTTCTGGTGCAGTGTTTATTTTAGAATTATTCTACGACGGTAGTTTTTTCATGATAAGTTTGCACTGGCATCGTGAAAAAGCAGACTGTGATATTATCAGACTGTCAAAACTTGAAGTGAATAAAATGTAAAAAGTTTTATGATTATTCCCTCATTTGCCATCTTGAGGGGTGTAGTAGCGGCGGTGTTTTGAGAAAAGACGATATCAAATCTTGTTGTCCTAACGAGTATCTAGTGGACTTCAAAGACTCCAGAAAATCGGTTGGAGGGAAATATGATACATTCTTACGAAACTGCAGCTGCATGAACATGTGTTTGAGTTTGGTGAATGAGTAGGAAACGCTCTCGTTCATCATTAAAACCTCGTTCTTGAAATTCTTTGTCATGAACAACAATTGTGAAATACTTTTCATGTAGCAAGTGTTTCCTAAATTATATAATCTAATTTTCTTTGCAACATGTTTCGCAGAATCTGCATAAGAACCACTTCTCAAGCTGCAATCGATCCTTCCAAGTGATGAAGGGTTTCGTAAAGGGATTGATTCTGCTCTTGCTTCATGAAGCTCTTTCACTGTAAGGAAACCAGAACCACGAGGACTGCAACTCATATTTGGGGGACAATAATGACCTGAAAATCGTCGATTCATTATTAAATAAGTTGCCGAGGATGTCGGCATATCGGTTGGCCCATGCTGTGACAATTTTTCTGAAATTTTGGGCATATTGCGAGCTTAAAACCTGATTTAGCTCTCAAGCTCCTTCACGCTCTTTAGCCTCTTCTCTCGACAAAAATTCTTGTCGGGAATTTGATTGGTAACTAATTCTGTCACACGTTTATTATCGTTTTCATCATTGTCGTAGGTTTTGTTTCTTTTCGTACCAATTTTGGTGCCAAATCTTCTATTCAATAATGTGAATGAATTTATTCTTCACGTGAAGTACTACGATTTTCACGCTTCAATATACAAATAATCTGATTTAAAGTTAGACATGGATAGTCATTGGTAATAATGCACCTGCTCACAACTTATTGCTTTTTCGTGAGTTTTTGGCCAAAACCAATATTTTGACGAGACCTCAGCCCTATATTCGCCAGACATGGCTCCATGTGACTGAAGAATAACAAAGAACCCCGAAGGGCTGTCATTTAACAAGCGAAGATGACGTTAAAAGCGCATCGCTGAAATAGCTAAGTCTATCCTAAAGATCGAGATTGAAAAGTGTTTCAAAGATTGAATAAAGCGCTGTAGATAAATAAACATATGTCTTTGTTAAGAAACGAGAGTTCTCTTTGTTTTCTGAACATTGTTGTTCCAAGGTGCGATGCGTTTTTGTTTTGTGGGCGTTTTGATGTGAACACTTCCGCTCAAAATTTTAAAGAAACAACCGCAAGCCTTCAAAAATGACTAATTATCGCCTTAGGAATTTGCGTTGAACAGTTGGTCATACTTTTTCATCATATATGACGTCAGCGCAATCTTATCGGACTAATGGACTATATCCTGTAAAAAAGGGTTACCTCAAACAAATTGACCCGCTAGGATCCAAACAAACATTTGTAATATAATAATCATTGTTGTCGTTTTCCAGCAAGTTGACAATGACATATTGATTATTTGCTTTCGCTGCGCATGCNTTCAAGTGTTGTTTCCTTTCATTTGTATTGAATATTCCTATACATGGTGGATATGGTGTAAGGACCTTGGTCCAAAGTAGAATAATTCCCATTATTATTTTTACAATCACCAAAATTTATTGTTGTTTGTGCATACCCTAACGGGCATAAGCATTCAGCCAATCTTTGGATAGCTAAGTAAGAAAATTATAGTAGTGAGTAATAAGTAATTATAGTAGTAACTAATCCCTCGGCTTTCATTTTTTCGAAAGTTGGGAAATTCTGCTGGTGGGGTTGGGAAAATTTGGATTCCGTCCCCCCCTGGTATTTCTTTTTGCTACGGCCCTGTTTGCACTTGCTGTTCTTCCCGGACGGATGAGCTGGGGGCTTTTTGTTATGTACACTACCGGTTGTTGTTCATTGAAAATTTCTTCAGTCTCGTGAAAGTTACGCGTCGCACCGTAAATAAAAATCGCTTCAATTCTTTCTTCCAATAGACGATAATTGACCATTTTAGAGATTGTTGACGTGCTACCTTTCTACACACATCGGAAAAGTCTAGGGATATTTTTAAAAATGGCAATAATTTTTTTTTAGATCGCTTTAGGGAAAAAAAGTTGACGGGTGATTATATTCGATCAGGGTCATCTTCAGTTAATTGGCGTACCATTTTAATTTTTTATGGATGATACCTATTCCTCTTCAAAAGTCTCCACACAGTAGAAGGAAACACCTCACAAACATTCACGACGGAATAAGTAGACTGTTCAGGACTTACTACCTAGTCACCAATTATTTGCACTCAGGGCCGTCGCCATGGGGCGGATGGGAGGAGCCTCCCCTCCTGCTTTTTCGACTTGGGAATAAGTTGGTAAATTTTCGGCCGTGAAGATAGAAAAAAATAATAGTAAAATAATTAATGAAAATTAAAAAAATAAAAATGAGAGAAAAGAAAGGGAGAGGTAATAAGAAAAGGGAAAGAACCGGAAGAAGGTTGGGATTTCCCAACATGGATAACTTGGAGATCCCATACTTTGAAAGTCTGAGTTGTTTGAAAACTTCAATAACCAAAATTCATTTTTGTTTGTGCATAACCTAACGGGCATAAGCATTCAGCCAATTTTTGGATAGCTAAGTAAGAAAATTAATAAATTATAGTAGTAACTAATCCCTCGGCTTTCATTTTTTCGAAAGTTGGGAAATTCTGCTGGTGGGGTTGGGAAAATTTGGATTCCGTCCCCCCCTGGTATTTCTTTT